ATTGTCTTTAAATTTTAAAACGTGCTATTTTTTGAAGAGATGATTTAAGGCACAAATCTAAGGAACAATTGTATAGTATACAGAAACATTTAGTGATTAAACGAAATAGTATGCTTTTATCGTAATTCAATGATACGTGAATGACGAATGTTTCAGACGATTAAAGTGTTATTATATCGTCGCTAAAAATCTGACGGTCGTGCTTGCATCGGGCACATATGTACCCAAAAAGGCAAATGCCTTACATACAATTATCTGTTGACCAGGTGGAAGGTTAGAATATCCCATAATAGACCAAATGAATTGGCTAATGCCCAAACATATCGCTCGTAATTATTAGCAATCGTATTCCGAAAACCAGTTTTATTTTGGATGGTAAGTCTCTATATTATGTGGAAAGTCGTGTTGTGAAGTAAAATATAACATCAGAATAAAATATTTTTTAAATGTTTCCCCTTAGATAGTTTTATTCAAACAAAGCTGTATACTCTTCGTAAATGAAGCTCCCCTAGATTTAAATTACACAATCTCACGAAGAAGAATTTTATGTTAATTTGCATAACTGAAAAGTACCTATTATAAGCATGTATAAGTAGGTAGTACTTACTTAATGTTGCGCAATGTGTTTTATTTCTATGCACTTTATGTCTAAGTGTAATGTGTACACTGTATAGCCAAATATTTTCAAAACATGGAAAATCAAATCGAGGTTACTAATTAAAATAGTATGTATAATAAATTCTTAAATCCATTGGCAAGGCGAAGTAATGTAGGCCACACCATTTCACGTATGCCTACCCACACGGATTTTACTAAAAACGATAAACTTAATTAAATAATTAAAAATATAAAACACCTTAGCCTTAGAATATTATTAAAGCCTATGTTTATCATACTTAATTCATATTTTTGAGAGAAAAAAAAATCATACATTTTCAATAATTGTATTGTACATTATTTTTATTTTATTTTATTTTGGCTTTATTACCTCGACATACACGCATATTGTGTTCTCTGTAAAACACACTTGTAAAATAAGCAAAAATCTACAACTTACTAGATAATTACAACAGATTACAGTTTATTTATTTATTAGAGAATAATATCATTAGTTAGGTGTCCAAACGAATAGTTTTCTTATATTTATATTTTAATATTGTGAGTTTCACTATAATAATTCATTTTTTCAAACTAATATAATAACGCTTGTTTTAAAATGAAAAATATTTTTGAAACTCTTAATTTCGAGCACAGTTTAAATTCTATTTTACAAGTTCTATAATATTCTATAATAATTCGCTTTATTAATGACTGTAAATTAACTTTAATAACAACCCAATATGTCTAAGAAAGACACAATACGTCATGCATTTAGCAATATTTAATAACGCAATCTTATTGAATACATAAATAAAATAGTTAAAAACACATTTGAGACGTTTGCCATAATATCCATGCTTTTATTCAATAATACTTGAACATAAAATGCCATAACTCATAACTGTTAATCTGTCATAACTTATGAGTATTGCATGATATCTATAAATTGACTAAATCTACCTACGCACTTGACTCATTCACTCTGAATTTATTTGCTTATTAGTAGCCACTAGCCACTGAGTATGGGCATTTGCTATTAAATGTCAAATTTTAAAATTAATTGGTTTTTACATTTATCCTTTTTTAGGTTTGTATTGTCAATTTATTTCCATATAGGTAGAGCAGAGTGCGTCAGGGGGGAATGGGGTGGAGGGGGGGGAGCTTATGATAATTAAGATGTGTACTTGACTTAAGGCAGACTTCATAGCCTGTATAATCTATTTGTGAATTTAGAAAACAGTAATAATTTTGACTATTTTAATTTACTTTTTTATGCGGCTTACAGAATTTCCAATAACTATATTTTATACAATTTTAATATTGGTATTATAAAGATATTGATGCATGCTCAATCAATTTAAAACAATGTTGAAATCCTTTATGTCTTACTCTACTTATCAAGCATTTAAAGTTTAAAGTACATTTAAATTAATTATTTTTATGAATAAGTTATTGATTATGAGTTTATCGAGTACATATTATACTCGCATGATGAATTAAAATTGTACCTATACTTGTGTGGTCATGATTTATATTTATGGTGAAAGAAATAAAAGGAATGAATAGCAATTTTATCGAAAGTATTGGTGCTTTAAAATTATAATTTTTGTCACTTTCTAATGAGAAAGCAATAAATTATAAATAACTTTCCCTAAACAATTTTAAGCCACCATCAAAAAAATGTAGATCTAACCTCTACAAGCTGATCAAAATTGGTTTTTTAAGGGATGATTTCACTTTTGAAATGTACCTATTCACTATTTCTATTTGCTTCATTCTTTATCACAATAGTTATTTTAACAATAAATAACCACGCATTTGCCTGGTAGTTTATATATTTACAACGCTGGATTTAAAATCCAAATGTTAGGTTTATCAAAATAATCTTAAAAACTATGGTAAATAACATAATTTTGTTGAATAGTGAATATTATTTGTATCATTTTAAAAATATTTATAGTTATGTGTAGGTATTAACTAATAAGATGTATTATCTGAAATGTTGAATTAAATTATTGCTTTTAACATATAGCCTATTACTGTGAACCCGGTTAAACTTTATAACCATAAATAATTGTAAATCGCAACATATTTTTGTAATTAAGCATAAGCTATTTAATGATGAAATATAAAGAAACACCATAATAAATTAATAATAATGCATGCATGTTTCTGTATTGAACATTTAATTTTAACTGAACACCAATTGTTTATCAATAAACATTTTACTTAAACACATATAACAGTTGTTCAAAAAAATATTTGTATAGTAAACATTAAATAAAATGTATATCATTGTATCGTGTGTCATCACAGCTGTTTAAAAATTGTTATGCTTATATTTCTTTCGTAATATTATGCGTGCCTCTACTCATTTAAGAACATATTTTATATTATATATTTTCTAAATTAAAATTAAACAATAAAATTGCCACAAAACACAAAATGTCTTGATTTTCCAACAATAATTATAAATATAAATATATATCCTCATTAAATATTTAAAAAAATATATATTATAGAAAAATATTGAAGAATTAGAAGTACTGTTGAAACTCAAAACAAATTACAGTTTGGTAAAAATATAAAATGTCTAAAAATATGAAAGTGAAATGTAATCAATAATAACTGTTTAAATCATATCACTAGAGTGAATTTCTTATTCTAAACAATGTTAAGTGACTTTAGAAATTAGTTAATGGATAAAATTAGATAGTTATCACCTATAAGCTATAATAATCATGTCGTTGATGGCTGTATCAGAGCCATACAAAATTGAAGTACCCATAACCATCGTTGATTCTCTTACTACCTATACATTCTTTAGATCTTTGTCCATTGTACCACGACGAAATTAAAAACGAATTGATTAATTGATTATTTTTCTTTACACATAAAATATAATATTTATACAATATGTAGGTAGGCACGCGTTGTTCTATTTTAACAAACATTCGAAAGACAATTTATTGTGTTGTGAAAATTAATTAAGAATTGGGACGTATATACGCATCGGAGTGCCAAAGATTCGGTTATAGGTATCGAGTTTTTGATTGATCCGTGTGCAATAACTACAAAGATACCGAATTTAAAACCGTACAATTTTTTCATTTATGTAGGTACATGTATAATAGAATTTCTTTGTAATAATTGTATTAAGCACTCGTACATCGTAAAGTAAAATTATCCTATAGACGCCTACATGGCCTTGAACGTATAAAGTCACGGGAGGTGATAACAATTGGAGGCACGTGGATAGGTTGGATAGGTGCGATATTAAAAAAAAGTTGTAATTTTCGATTTTTCATTTGTATTGTCACCATATACTCACTATATTATACTACGATCATGGCTTCAATATTTTTTGTTGACCATCTATGGCATCTCATATCAAAATTTTTGTCGATTTTCGAGCGTACTCGTACTTTTTTTACATTGACTGTAATTGGTGTGTTAAATTTGATTTCAATAATACATCATTATCCAATGTTTACGAAATATGATTACGATCGGATCTTTAAGCCTATATATTTCTAAAGATAATTTTAAATTACTATTAGTAATTTATTTTTCAATTACCAATATAATAATACGAAGTTGAAAAATGTTTTACCAAAAATCAATAGCGTGTATTACATTGTAATTATTTAAAATTTAAATAATATTATTATTTATATAATAAACTATTACTAAAATATAGCTGTATAATTTAAACCCTAATTAGAACTGTTAGGTTCAAGAATTTCGTAACAATTTAAACATTAAAATAGTTTTGTCATAAGGTACTAAAGCACAAAAAAAAACTAAAAATTTAACATGTCAAAGTTCAAAAATACCATGCATAAGTGCTAAAATATTTTGAAATTTATACCATGCCTAAAAAATGGTCATATAAATATTAAGTGGACAATTCAAGTCTGTTATTCACTAATGCGCTCTTGAATTACAACAAAAAAACAAAATTGATTTTTTCTTCTACTGCCTACCTGTTTATTTTTAATTTTTTCTTTTCATCATACCTAAAGTCTCAATTTTCTACCGGAAATCAGTGACTAAGTTGAAAACCTAAACATTTTAACTGCTACAAAATGGTGTAGTGAACACAAACACACAAATTATCGTAATATCAAATCGTTCCGCACAGAAACCAAAATAAAAATGATACATTCCTCGCTCCTGGACATCGTAATTAATCGAGTAATTACCTACCTACCTGTTGAACTATTACATTAGGTGTGTTTCATTATCACAGCAGTAAACGAGTAGTAAACGCGATTTAGGTGCACGAAAACCCAATCGGAAACTCTAAATCGTGTGCGCCGCGCATAAAATTATGTCGGAACCGGTTTTTGTTTCTCCGGAGTTTTCCCGATCTCGCGGTGCTTACAATATACCTGGTAACGTTGGTTCTCATTCGTTCATTTAGTGTCGTCCAACGCGGAGCTGCAATATAGTAATTGTTAGGTATGTACGTCTCATACATTTTCTGCTATGCTCTTCTCGTTGCATTGGCCTCTTCGTCGACGTTCACTCCACCCGACATATTGTGGTTGGACGAAAGTAAGTAAAACCCGTCATATTATTACTATTATAGGTAATTATAATTTTAGTCGTTGAACATAATATGCACACGTGTACGCAACATTGCATTGTCCGCTATCGAGAGTAGTCGAAATAAATTACTTTGAAAATGCGAAATTGCTTGTATTGACTTATTGTGAGCACTTAACTACGTATTGCTTTATTATGTAACTTAAAAGAAGTATATTTTTGTTTTAATTATTAAAAAAATAACGATCATGCTGATAATACACCGTAAATATATCCAATAAGTTATAAGCGGTGGGCATGAAATCTAAATATTCGAATTATCACAAATACCCGGATTTTAATCAAATTCTTAACTGGATTCACTGAAATATTCGGATCGTCCAGATTTATTGGGTTGGTTTTTTGATTTGACCTATCACAATTCACAAGACAACACTATAGTAGTCAAAATGCACCGGAAATAAAATATATTTAAATCTTTTAATAGAAATTAAATTTGTTAGAATATAGAAATGGGTCATCGAACGGATAAAATTAAACCGGATTTCAGAAATCAGAATATATCATTAAAAGCTAGGTATATTATAATATTATATATAATTATTACTAGATGTTTATAAAATAATCACCATGAAACTTCATGTATCACAGATAATCTATTTTCCTGTCATTTATAGCTGGGTAGACAGTTATACCATACGGGTTATTATTTTTTTAATCGACAAAACATAAACAAATTGAATTTGGGTTTTATTGAATTGAAGCAAAATGAAAAACATTTTATAGAATAACTAATTACTCAATAATTATATTTCATATTTATCAGTAAAAAAACTGGTAAGTGGATGTCCCTCTGCTGTAAAGTAGGTTACAAGTGGGTCACAGTAATGGATGATGTTAAATTTGAATTCAATGATATTATATTGTGTACCAAAAACGATTCTGAGAGAAGACGGTCTGCCAGTCTTTAATATTACTTAATTATTTAGTATATTCGATGATATTATTGTGATTAAAGTAATTTATTTTACTAGTACCCATTAGTACAACGTAGTAGATTAAATTCATGTTTGCCAAAAATAAAATACATTTGAAAAGTCATTGATTGTATAATATATAGTAATATACTTTAAAAGTACCCACGAATAATATTTTTAATTTACAACAATATAATATACATCTTTATTCTTGGTTATTTAATAAGTAATTTCGTCCACATTTGAACATAAAAAACCTCCTGTGCTTATATTTTTTAGATTTTCTGGTAACAGAATAACCAACTTGAGTGGAACTTTTCTTACATTTTCAACCCTCAACTATATAAGTTGAAAATTAAAAAAAATTTCATTTATAAAATTATGCCTATGTATTTTTAATATTTTTCAACTGATATTGTAAATATATGACTTGTATTCAATTTTCAAGGTTTTTAACAGACCTAAACATTTTTTATCTACATAAGTTAAAAAAAAAATACAAATAATTATCAAATTTTCAAATGCCTGTAAAGAGTTTAATACTAGTTAAAATATTTTGAAAATCTTATGGAGTATAGAAAACTTGACTTTAAACATAAAGTGAAAATTTCATATAACTACAATATTTTTTTAGAGTTACATAAAAAAACCAAAATCGATTTTATCAAAAACCGTCGTTTTTCCTTAATTTTTTATTTGTTTTTGTTGCCTCTTTTGAAAACTATCGAGATTTTTTTATTTTTGACCCCCCACCTAGATTCAATTTCCAACTAAAAAAGATACTGTTGAAGAAAATCGAATCACTTTTACTATCTCAAAACCTGATGACAGATACAAAAAAATTAAAAGCTAAAAAACACACATCATTGGAAAATTAATACATTCATCGCTCTGATCAGAATCTAAAATACTAGTTCGTTGATAAAATTAAAACAATTTGAAGACACCATAAAATAATGCAATTTCATTACACTTTTTTGTAATCAATCTATAAATTATAGAAGTATGAATAATCATTCCATATTAAATAAGTTATATCAGAAGTCTGAATTATTATTAATTTTAAAATAAATATAAATATTTTTAATTAGTATTAACCTTAAAATTTTTTCTTGATTTTGCATATTGAATTGGGTTTAAGTGTTTATTTTGCATTTTAACTAATAAATCATTATTGTAAAAACAAGATTCATTGAATTGAAATTTTACTACGAGTAAATAATACAATTTATAATTATTATTATAATATATTATAAATTATAATCAAAATTAAAAATAGATTTTTTTTTTGGTAATATTAACCTTAATTATGAGAATTTTCAGTGAATTACTTATTATTAAAATGATTAATATCTAATGAAAAAATTATGTTTTGTTTGCTTATTCGAAAAAGCTATTTTTATGTATTTTGAATTCATGATTAATGAATTCTCGTGTGAACGAAAATAATTTTAATTACACACTTGAACATTATTTTTTATTATCCTCGAGTGTGTTCGACAGAAATAACGATTTTGATCAAATTGTAGGTATAATTTCATTATAACCACATCATTTTGCATAAAATATTGCTCACCGAAAACTTGTTGTACCTAGATCTTTTGTGAGATAATAATATTATTATATACACGTTCGGTACATATGGTTCGAGTGTGTTATTTTCATTAGAATATGCATACTAATTATAGTAATTGCACACTAATAACCATTATAATATATTCGTTATTTTCAAAGCAAATCTGATTATTATTATATTGCATGGGGATATTAAAAACGAAAACTGAAACAAACACATAATAAATAGAATTTACTTTATAACAAGAAAGAAACTCATTGTCAGATTCAATTATTTGTGTCTACATACAATTTATAATCATTCAATGTCAATAAATACTGTAATACAATAAATATACTTAAGCGAGTTATGACTTTTGTTTGTATATACATTGTAATTATTACAATTTGAGTGATTTTGATATAATTACAATCATTTATTACCTTGTTCACACACTTATAATGATATTTGCAATACTCAATCCGAGTGTGTAATAATATAGAGCTTTAATAATTGTCCTAGTCGAGCTTGAAACAAATTCAAATTTATTTAAAACAAATTCAGTGATTATTATCTAACCATTATAATTTCTAAGACTATAATAATTTATGTGAAAATCCTTACCACACGAATCGGTGTACAACGATTTTAATTTATGTATTTCTAGTATATATAAATATACGCTTCGTATGTAGACTACTCAATAAAATAAGTGTAATTTAATATTCAAGGTCGTTGTACAACGTTCAACTATCAAGTTCAATGAAAAATGGAAAAAAACTGGAAGTGTGTAGTTTATAAGAAAACAGATTAACGTGTGGATAGGTACGCATAAAATTGAATGTGTGGCTGAGCTATGTCACTATATAATACTGTGTATAGTCACGAGGAAACTCGTTTTGTAACCACTTCTCAACTACAATAATTATTTTGTCGTAATTATATTATAAACAAAAAAAAAAAAAAAACTTACAGTGTTGTGGAATGACTACAATGTCACGTAATAATAATATAAATATATGACCACATTTTCATCGCAAAATGAATCATTCTGCAATTCGCACTCTAAAATAATAAAATTCTGTAACTATATGCTATGCCGTTGACGTGAATACAACACATGTCGTTGGCGTCGATGCATTTGTCCGGTACAAACTACGGTCAAATGTCAACAAAAAAAGTCGTTCAATAATAAAAAAAAGTCAATAATAACAATCCCGTAGGCATTTATCTTACTATAAATACTATACAAAAAGTGTGTAAGTAATGAAACTTGAGTGATATCGTGGAAGCGATATAATAATATATTTGGTTTTTTGTATAATTATCGACAATTATTTTTATATTTCTCAAACAACTGGAGTTTATTATACACGGTGGCATTGAATATTGTTGTTTTTAACTAACAAAAAAAAAAAAACACGTGTGTGGAATAACGATTTCCTCTTTGTGTTCTAGTTGTTGTTACTTTTTTTTTGTCTGCGCGTTATACTAAAAAAAAACCACAAAATATCTCAGTGGTTCATAATAAAATATTATGTATGGATGCACTGCGATTGCACTCGGCACTTAAATGCAGCTCAACAAAACACAAAATCCTAAATAAGTACCGATTTAAAACTGGTTACAACATGAAATAGTTTAATCCGTATTATTATATATTGCGTAAGTTGTACCAACCGTAAAAATGTGGTAAAAAATGAAGGCTTGAACTCAAAATTAAAATCCGTCCATCATCTTAGACAAACTACGTTGAAAATTATCAAAGGTTTGTGTGCGCAGTTGAATTTATTATTACTAGTATTGAGAAGTATGTAGGTGCTCATCTTCTCAGTTCAAATACTTTGAATACCACTCTAATGGTGTTATTAAATGCGGACAGGAAATGCACAATCATTGTAATATTATATTATGTTATATTCTATTTTGTCAGAGTTATTCGAGTGTCGCCGAAGAAAGTTATATTGGAAAATCGCAGTTTTAATAATAATTTTGACAACACTTGTTAAAATATATGTATACGTTATTAATATAATATATTTTTATCGAAAACATTTTTTTGTTTCTGGTAGAGGAAGTCTGCAAGAAAAGTTTAATTTCGGGAAAAACTCACGTGTGCAAAGTATTGGACGACTGTAAGACGGCCATTCAGGACATTAGGGACAACGTCAAGTATCCGACCATTTGCAGTTTTAAAGGAAAAATGCCAGTGGTGTGCTGTGCACCGGAGACTGTGACCAGAGAAGAAAGACTAGCCATAGATGAACCCGTTCCGCAAATTTTACCCGGAATAACACGTGAGTACACTGTACCATACGTTATTTTTCTATTATTCTGTAACTGTAAGGTGACGTAGACGTGTGTGAAAAAACTCAAAACTGTATAATCACTACGAAGGTTGAAGTAAGTTTGAGTCACATACACAAGTGAATATGTATACGCATATAACATAGATGTTCACTTCGTCTCGTTTTATATATTTATTTTTGTTCAGGTTTTTTGGGAATTTTGAAGTCTAGGTAGGTGGGTATTATATACTAGAACATTATTCAAAATTATTTCCAAGTTGGTACCGTCTTTAAACAGTTAAAGGAGTGCCCTGTGGCCGATACGATCTTCTGTACCAAATCGCGAATGAAAAATTCTTCTGTTACTTGTAAATATTACAGCACATGCTTTGTGTACAAAGTTTTGATGCGCTCAAATTAAAATTCTCTTATTGTCTCAGTCATTTAAGTCTATACGTACTGAGGATAAAGTTCTTTAATAACGGTTTTATATAAAATAGAAACTAGTTGTGATGTGTAGTCAGTTGTAACTACATAATTATTTATTATATAATACGTACTCTGAAAATGTTCGCAAATTAAAAAGTGTTGATGTATTTTATAGTTATAATTTATAAATACCCAATTACAGACCAAGGTATTTATATACCTTAAACCTATTAATTTTTAGCATACACAACATACTACTACCTATATTATCCGTAGTATCTATAGGGCATAGATACATCAAGTTTAATAATATGTCAGGAACTATTCACTTGTTTGGAAAAAAGAAGTTTGTATACGATACTCCTAAAAGTATATGAAAAAAAAGTTAATTGTAGGACACTGCTCGTAGTTTCTATATGCTTCACATTAAATCATTTGATCTATGTTTTTGATGAACCTACCTGTGGAACAAATTCACGGTTAAATTTAGAGTGGTGAGTCATAGAAACTATGAGCAATATGTACAGACATTTAATGTAGAATTTCGATAGAAGTAGTATTGTAACGATACAATTAGTCTTTGATTATAGACGGTACCCTTATTGCGCGTGTCAAATGTTTAAAATGTTTATTATATTCCTATGGGAATATTTCCCTCCGAGTGACCTTCATTCGTAAAATACCTATGTATACATATTTGTTTCAATTGTTGTTAAAAGTATTCAAAAATGTGTAACCACATTTTAAGATGCAGCGCTGTAAAGTACGGTATTTGATTTTGTTTTTACTTTTCAGTGCATTTTGATAGCTACAAAAATGGATTGGTCGAAGATAATCTCATCACCTACTCCCGACCTCGTCGTCAAATTGTGTCACGAATCCGATGAAACTCACGAACAACACGCGAACGCAATATATTATATTTTACGAATCGTAATAACCACTCAACAGTGTGAATTCGATTCCAAACCAAATCGCAGATGACATTGTGTCGGTAGATTGCTGCTGCGGTCCACACATCTATTATTATTGTTGTCCTGGGACTCGACGACTCGTCGAGGAAATAAAAATCACAAGACATGTCGGACGGCGATCGTACGATCAATGATATCATACGATTATATTATATCGCGACGTCACGCCGGCTCTCCTCCACTCGACGGTCCACGGATTTTATCACTTTTTAGAAAATACAAAATAAGTATGCGGCTGTGTTTAATAATATTATAACGTGCGAATATTGAAGGCCTCGTTAAGTCGCATGGCATTGCATCAGTCACCGGCGATGTTGCGCGAAAACGGCTGAATTTTCGCGTCGACTAATATTATAGTCCGGATTTTTATCACCACCTGTTTGCATATACTATTGTTATAATACCTACTACGACGGAAGGTACTTCAATATAAAGTTCGAGTTAGTACCAATATAGAGTCACTAACGTTGAAAATCTCAACCGCAGACCACTATAACTATACCATAATATCGTCCACTGACGATATTATATTTTTGCGAAGCGATTATACTGTGAAGGGAAACCGGTCAATATATTATTATAATATTATATCCACAGTAGTATTATGGTTTTTTGTTTTTTGTTTTTTTTTGAAATTACGATAATAATAATAATATACAACACGTGTCTGTGTGGGACCGCAATCTATTGTAATACATGCGTGTATAGGTATTATCGTTTCGAACTAACGCAGCTAGTTTCGACCACGGACTGAGAGTAATCGACGATTTGTTGCAATTTACGCTCATACAGTTTTATGTTCATATCATGTGGTACGAAATGTAACTGATATTTTATAATAATACTTTAGGTGTTCAGCATAATTGTTTTTATTTTGATGTTGCCGAGTTCGGCGATTATAGCTGATACGGAACACATTTTATTGTTATTATGATTGTGTGCTATGTACGACTTCAACCGTGTTCTTATTAGTCGTCGTGATTGAAATCCGAAACCTGTGCAACGATAATACCTATCTATAAGTATGTAATATTATTATATATTATAATATTAAGTAAACTACACCACCACCATCCGTCTCTCAGCAGCAGCCCGGCCGACACAACTACACTTTTATAATATGTATACATGTTCAAGTCTGCCGCTTTTGGTTTGAAAATTGGTTTTTATTATTATTTTTTTTTTTTTATCATGTGCTTATAATAAGCACAGTTAAACACAAATCAAATATTTACACTTTATAAGTGCAAATAACGATATTTACGAGTATGATCTTCCAGTGATTTATGTAATCGCTATTTTTCATTTTTTTTTTTTTAAATTAATGTTTTTATTGTAACAATAAGTAAAATATCTAGTCATTTTTGCTTTATAAGCTAATTAAAAATAGTACTTATATACTTTGTTTTCAAACAAAAATAAAGACAAGTGTTATAATAATTATATAGCTGTATACGTTCTTAATTATAAATACTGAACAATGAGCCTTTTTAGGTATTATATTGTATCACTTTAAAAGAGCACATGTCCTAGAGTGGCCAGTGTGGACTATATAGACATTTCAATATTGTGATTAAAGGTACTACCTACTCGTTTCTGTTAAACACATAAATGAAACTCATATTATAATATCCAATAAACAAACTGTTTAACAATAAATATAATTTTTTTTTTTGCATAAACAACGGTTTATATAATTTATACATGCAATTAGTACCTATATTACGAAACATTGTTGTAATAACAATATAACAATCTAAATACCTTCGTATTAGTTTAGAAGTTACTAGTTGAGATGAACTATCAACATGATATTAATACCTATAAAATAACCATTTTGTATTATATAATATAACTTGGTGATTTTTAGAGAATATAGAATTAATGTTTTTGGACATTTAAAAAAAACTATTTGAAGACAATTAGAAAAAGAAATCAATTATTATTTATATGGTTTTGCAGGCCAGGTATGTTTTTTTAAAGTATTTTACTATTTCCAATGGAAATCATTATAGTATTTTCTGAATATCATACTTCTAAGTAAATATTTTTTTGAGAATTTAAAACGAGTGGTTAAGTAGCTATAATTGTTTGAAGTTTAGGTGGATCAGATAGTGGGAGTGGTATTTGAATACTTCGTGAAATGTTGGTCTATTACTCAGTTCATGTAAATTTTAAATAAAAATTAGTTATAAGTAGTTATAATTAACAAACCATACAAAATAATAATATATGGTATTATGTCATTTAAAAATGTATACGATAAAAAATATGGTTTTGTCATGTCTTTATGTTATGTAAAAATAAATATTTCCAAAAATTATGATTCTTTAAAAGAAAATTTGAGTTTAGCATTTTAAAAACTCTCTTATATATTATGACTATCAACAGTAGACAGATATTCCAGATTTATTTGTTTATTTATTTATTCATTTGCAAAATGTATCATTGGAAATAGAATAAGAACATATCATAATTTATAATCATATATATTTTAAATTATATGTACTTGAAAATCTTAGTTATAAGTATTTTCCTTCAAGAGTTTGGCTCTACGTCGATAACATGGTTATAATATTTACTCACACCATTGTTGGATGTAGCATAAAAATCGAAATAAAACAAATATTGAATAGTGCTAAACGACAGTGAGTTTGTGGTCAATGAATATTTTAGGAGACTCGTGAGTCCCATACAGATATGAAATTATTAACTCTTTCATCGCATACGTCAATCTATTTTAGTTATAGATTTGAAGTAAATAGTACTTCAAGATATTATGATCATACCAATGGTAATTTAAGGGTACGTTATTATTACCACAATTATTTAGATAGCATTTAAATCATTATTTGTCATACATGTGATTTGTTAAAAAAATTTACTTCAGCAGTCGTTATACATTCGGCTGACTTAGCGTTGAAGTAAAAATCTATACAGTTGCCCTGTTCGATATCATTTTCAAATGTTTATGATTTATTTTGAGTTTTTACTTTTAATATAATATGCCTTGTGAGCGTGCCGGTTTCAGACTTCAGTCAGTCAATTTCTAAGGAGCATTGTATAGGCAACTTATTATGTATCTTATAATTTAACATGACGTGAAAAGTTAATTAACGTTATTAATTTATATTTCAAGCTAACGGATAACGGCAATAAGTCAGGAGGAAATGCTGAATTATTTTTCAAATCAGTTATTTTCGTCACTTTAATCATGTTATCATAATTGCTTATTGTACTATTTTTCTGTAAAAATTGTATCTATTCATTTTTGTTAAACGAAAAATAAATGAGTGCAATTAGTGTGCTTGAACATTATAATTGATTTACTCTGAAGCTCTTATGCTCTAGCAAGCACTTGTCAATGTTACGATATTATTACATATTTTATTTGTCCAATTTGTTTTTTAAAAACCGATGTTAGTTTATATTTACTTCATGACAAATGCAATTAATTAGTGCACATTCTACAAAATATATGATTTTTTATTTAAAATTAATCGATAAACTAGGCTATTAGAAGAAATTTAGTTTTGGATAGGGAACAGAGTACCGATTTTTTTTTTTTTGCTAAACATAATACATATTATGTATTTATTTGTTAAGATAGATATAGTGAAAACAATTGATTCAGTTTTTATGGGTATCACCTAATCAGTCATTTTTCCAATGACGTATCAAGACTATCAGACCAATTTCGGTAAATATTCACCTTTTTTTATACTTAAATGTGTACATTTTGTTACAAGAAAATGTGTCCATCATAAGTTATTGGTATCTCTTTTCGAGAGATTGTTGTGAATAGCAATTTCCAAATTTTTAATGCATGCACGTAATTGTGAATGAGTAGAAATCGTTGTTATCTTTTCATTAATTGCTTGTAAACTTAAAAATTCCAAGCATCTCATATAAGAAAAATAAATAGAAACATATTTTACTTTAATTTGTTTGGGTATAATATTAATAATATTATTCCGCACAAAGTGTATTAGATACCAGCTATAGTGCATTTTGTATGTTATATTAGTTTTATGTTACAGACACTTAATATAACTATTATGTTTCTTTTTTGGGGAAATCCCATCCTAGCTCCGGTTTTTCGGCCACGGCCATGTACACCATAGCACCTCGGTTTGGTAGCGGTTGAATGGCCACGTAGGTCCGTTTGTCTGGTGTCCAATGGCATTGATATGGGAGAGGTTTTGGTGGAGGCATTGGCTTATCGAAAGGTCCGGGCTCAGGTTTCTAAATAAAATTTGTATATTAGATAAACAAAGAGGTATGTACTTACGATCGTTAATATATAATATTATAGGTGAATTGGCATAAATAGTTTCAAAACGGTTCATTTAATTATGTAAAATTTAATTATTTTACTTAAACTGAATGTTTTACATAACTGTGAGTTTTCACTTAAAGTATCTAAGATACTTATAATATTATGGAGAAAATATCTATACCACGAAAGGTATAATTGATTGGTTTTATAATGCGCCTTATAAAAAAGAAAATGATTTTAGATTAAATATAGGTAATCGTTCATACTATTTTGTAGATACCTACTTTCTATGGGAATAAAGTATAAAAAAAAAAAGGTTACGAGAAAGTCTTTATTATTTTTTGTTTGATCTACCAAAACCCTGCAGCGTATTTTTTCAAAAGCGAAGTAATAGTAACATTATTGCTCTCAAAATATTTCACAGGTAATAATATCGCTATCTATGATAAATCCATCACTCATCCACTCGTCCCCTCATCACCCTCTTGTCTACGGTGTTTCTGGCACTTACTCCCCAGTTACAGCACGTCGGAGACTGACCGGTCTCGGCGATCGTCTTCCTGACGACCCCCATGAAATATTTCATGAAATTGTTCCGGTGTTTCAACACGTTCACGTCTCTGCTCTGTAGAGACTTTGCTCTAGCGATCCACTTTTCGGTGATGGCCCTGTCTGCAGAGTGAAAACGAAATGGTTACAAGTTGGTTAAGTCCGACGTGGCGTTATACGTTTGAAACGCGAAAACAGTATCGGAATCAGTTCGGGAAAAACAACAATGAGCATAATGATATTTTAATCTATATTTAAATGCGTTCTATAGTAATTACTAATTATAGTAATAATTTAAGAAGTGTTAATATAACATAAGAGCCGAGCCACAACTATAGAATATTATAAAATATTACCATCCATGTCCCGCATCAGAGGTATCATAGTTTTAGCGACCTCTGTCATTTCGGTAAATTCTTGAGCGTAGTCTGTCATGATAATATTTCGAGAATTTTTCACCGTTCCTCAAACGATCTCAAAATCGTTAAAATAAAATTATATACTGGTATGGCATCAATTGCCTAAAAGCAATATGAGTGTATAACAATATTGTTTTTTTATTTGAATAACAACGTCAGACGAACTATTGCTCATAGTTACCAGCCGTTGTTAATTTCAGCCAAGAGCCGTATGAATGTATTGATGTATAATATTATTTACCATTAAAACATCATAAATATAAAATAATATAATATTTCGATTGTAATTTTCGGCATGTTTGTTTTACGCTTACGACATTATATAAATATAGTGCACTGCGTATACTGTCCAGTCAATAATGATGTTAACAAAACACGTAGAAGAGTATATAGTATTATGATCATTCTATTTTTGATTGAATTGGTACCAAAAGCTTATTCAATATTTTAGTTTTAGTTAGAATACCATAATTATATTCTAAGATTATATTTTGCTTTAGCTCAATTTAATAAGAATCTATACCTACGGGCTACTAACAAAATAAATACGAACTCAAACATAAATATACCTGAGTGACAATTATTAAAGAAAACAAAATAAACTTTCATAACACTTACGATACCAGTAAATATTTTTATACGATAAATGTGGTTTTTCAAACATAATATTGTATATAATTATTTTTTTGATTTTGTATCAAGTAATTACGGTAATTGGAATGAAGAAATCTGAATTTTGAAAACTTTAAGAGTTTTTGGTAAGTATTTAAATAATAAAAATTGAACTCAGTAATAACGAGTGGGTAATGGTCGCTAATTTTCGATTTGAACACGACTGCTGGCTATAACTGCAATATCTATTATGTGTCCGTCCTGTGTTCTGTTAACCTAAGCCAATTCACCGAATGCCACATAAATGACGAGTCAGTAATCTGTAAATCGCTGAAGTACCAAAAACAATGTATTTACCATTTTATTTAAACATTTTTTTAAATTTAACAAGTGGTTTTTTTTTTGTTATTATTAATGTACGATGAGTGTATAGGTGATTAATAGTTACTGGTTATTATTACCTATATTTCATTGTGTATAGAAGATAATAATTATGACACAAGTAGGTACTACCTACACAATGGTAAAAAGTTCCATGTCTACAATGGACATCTGGAACATGTGAAATAATTGTGAACATAATATATTATGTACCATTTAGGCATTATATAATATACAATATCACTAATCATACCTATTAAAAGTGCATTACTATTTCCTAGTGATATTCAGATGTAGGATATTATTAAACACCATTGAGCTCCAATAATAATTATGAATAGTTTTATATTTTACAATCTACTAATTCCGTTTACAAGTTTTACAAGTTATTTTTTTGCTTTTACTAAATACAATATATTGTATAAATTATTTACATTTAAAAATAAAATGTTCGATGCTCTTGATTTTGATTCGATAATATTCTTATTGAATAACAACGTAATAGTAGAAGTTACAATTAATATTAATAACATAATAGGTAGGTATATAGAAACATAATTTAAAAGCCTTTGTTTTTTAAACAAACACGGACGATTTCTTGTAACAATATATTGTGTGATGTTGTCTTTATAAAGAACTAAACAACTTTTTTTTTAAAATTTAAACCTACAAGGTTTTAAATTATTGATTTACTAAAGCTTATACGCCTACAAAAGTTAAAATCATTTAAAGTATTTAAAACCGAAACAAAAATTATAAAAAAACAATTAGTATGTGTCAAAAATGTAGCTGTCCCTAGGCACCTACTTAATCAATCTATAGTAACATTTTAATCATAAATATTATATATCCTAAGAAACGACTTACCATGGACTACATAAGTTATGGTAATAATTATACTCTGTATTATATTAAAACAATTTTATTATCTATTAACTATAGAGTAGGTGTATAAATAAAAATAAATAAATAACCACAAACAGTATTGATTACTAATAATATTAAGATAAATAAGATATTCTAAAAAATGTTTTACATACAAATATTATTGTCATACTTAATATTTTACAATAAATTGATTTCTTAAATAATTTTCTTCCATCAGAATCAATAAAACTATTAATTAAAGGATAGAATTTTAAAATAAATAATAGTAAAATTATTTTGTTGGATTTGTGTAGTGTGATATTATATTTTTCTAGTTGTATGTACAATTCATATAATTGTTTTATTTATTCAGGTACCTAATTGTCTACTATTTTAAGTTTCTCTAATATCATAATATATTTATTATTTTAATTTTATTTATCTGTATTTTTAATGTTTTTTAGATAAATGACCGTTCAAAAAATGTTTCAGATTTCATTTCTGTATAATATTCCATAAAATATAAACATTTATAAAACCAAAAAAATATTCAACAATAATATTTAAGCTATTTTGCTTATTCAATTATTTGTAACGAACATTCTGCAAGAAGAACCAATGATCACAATGTTTATTATTTTAAATTGTATACTATTTAATAAAATAAAATATATAATCAATTATGATATATTATTGCTGTTGTCTTATCTTAATATTAAAATACAACTTACAGTTATTATTTCCATTGGTGATAATAATTATTGTATGTTTTATTAAAAATAATGAGGCATTCGTAGAAATGTGATTAAATTTATCATTTTAGCCTTTTTATTTATACAATTATGGTATTAACTATATTTCGATCAATTCCTATATGACGTGAGTCGTATCAAAAATAAACAGGAAATTGAAATTACACGATTACGTCTTGTATAATGTTATGATTGAACATATTGTGATTTTAGGATGCTATTTTTGTGAACACAGACTTTTGGAAGGACTTGGATGATTACTTCGAGAATGATAATGTATAAACAAATGATGAGAAAAATGGTTATCCTGATAGATTTCCTTTATAATACCTACTGATAATCTAATCGCATCTATTTTCAGAATATTAAATAGTTATGGAACTGATATATAAAATAAAAATTACGATGGAAAATTAAAAGTATACGTATATTATACTCAAATAATTGGCTTAGTTTAAAAAAAAAAACAAAACACGATTAGGCTCCTAACATTTTTTTAACTGAATAACCGGGAATGGAATAGAAAAACAGTATTATCATGAGGAATATAGCCAGTAAGATGATCCCCTTCAAAATTTTCCATTTATAATTGTGCCAAATTATGTAACGTATAGATTTAAATGGATTTAGGAACCACATAAATGAAGCGTCTGGTCGGCTGCAAAAATAAAATAATTACCATTTAATACTAAACCGTACATGATGTAAATTTTAAGAATTTCAATCAAAATTTATATTTTACTTGGGTTTATCTAATGGATCTGGTTCATTGCGTCCAATACCCGCAGGAATCTTTTCCGCTTCGTCGGTGGTAAGCAAGTGTAACTCAGCCTCAACCTTACCCTGTAAAATCGAGTGTCCCGAAAAATACAATAATATTACATTGCTATACGACAATGGTTTACAAACCGTCAATTCCATTTCCTCGTTTTCTTTTTTCACATAAAACGGCCACCAGCCTTTAACGCGTTTTTGCTTGAATATATTAACCATCGGAACTGATCCATCCGACTTGAGCATTTCCAACGTGCACAACTTTGAAGATTTGGCACCTCGTGGAAAATTGTTCAAGTCCAACGTTAAGGCTCCTAAAAATTGAACTGGTTTGAATGGAGGAACATTTTTCCATTTGTCACGGATAAAATACTGGAACTTGTAAAACTTGCACATTATTTTTGTCTTTGTTTAGAATAGTTTGAGTAGGTCATACTTGTTTCTAACTTCCATGAAGTAAACTGAGGTTATTAATGCAATTTTTTTAATGTAGAATTTCTCGTACTGTTTTACGTAATTTATAACTTTTAGTTTGTAAGTATAATAGATGTATTTTTATAACAAACAATGAGAACAAATAAACTTCACCAAGCCCATCACGAATCTTAAATTGTTTTTTTTTTCAACATTGATTTTTAAACTATTTGATACCATTTTTTGCTGAAACCATTATTAATGAAGTTATCATAAAAAACTTCAACAAATTTGGGTTTGAAGTAAAGTACATTTTACAGTAAAAAGACCGTGTGTTTGGCATTTGCACACTACGTTCCGCAAGCTAAAAATATAACTCGATGTGTTATGAAAAACTACATCGAGTGAATCTCGAAAAATTACTTTGAAAAATACCACAAAAAATATGATATTGGGTATTGAATCCTGTTTCACAAACACACCATCGCCATTTTTCTCATAACTTCTCTGATAATGGTTTTTGCAAAAAAGTTCAAACAGTCTCCAAATTAACGTTGAAAAAGACGTTTTTTTAAATGTTTTGAAATTCGTAAGGAGCGCGGTATAGTACACTTTAGCCAGCATTCTAATATTTAGTTTTACAGTTAATAAATGCCTAGTGTCAACATAAAAAGTTTTACACTTTTGACTAATTATTGTTGGTGCCTTTTATTATAATGCTTACCTACTTTAATGTTTTAAAGTCATTTAAAACAATCATAATTAAATATTTTAATGTCAGTATTTCTGAGCCCTGAAATGCATTAATTGTCTGCAATCATACCAAAACTATCAGGTATCACATTTACCCAAAAAATCGTCAGCTGAAAAATGATCTGCATCCCACACTTGAAGCTCGAGCCTAGCTGGTATTTTACTCTCCGTTTCATCCCACGAGAACAGCGATTCTTTTTTCGATATGACGATTTTTTCTTCTGCCACTAAATAGTCGAACGGAAATAGAAATCTCCAATTAAAGTTTCCCTCTCCTGTCAATGACCTGTAATGTATGTCTGTACTCTGACAGTCGTCCGGGCCCTTCAACCACCTGCGTACAGTAGTTGTTAATATATATCATAATTGTTATTTATTTATACCAATTATTTATCAACTATCATCACTATATTGTCTATGACAATCGCAATCACCCTTTTACGTAGATGTCACTCATTTTTTCGCCCGTGAAAAATGCGTCGTCTTCTAACACTACGTCGTCCGTGTTCCAAATGATCACTCGCAATTGGTATGATTTTGGTTTCCTTGGAGATATGTCTAACGCTGGACCTGGCAGTGGCATATCCATCGGGAACATGTCCACCCACATTTCTAGTTTGCCCTAATACACAACCATTGTAATTATTGTTACAGTTCACCGTACAGGTTTTTCTTTCATCGGAAAATTTTTATTTCTATTTACTCTTTCGATTCCCGCTTTGTCTGCAATAAACAGGGGCCTAGTCTCAATATGCTCGGGTACAAGATGGCAACCTCTTCGAGGTATTTCGTGCCAGTTATGCAAGACGGCTAACGCCATGTGTTCTTCCGTACCTAAAACAACACTTATTAAACCTTTGTAATAAATTGTATTTTATTCAATATGGTAGATATTTCACTTGCCTTTAGCACAATACCATTCGATTGTATCATCAATATTATTTTGAAGACAAAATGTTTTAGTACCAATTTTAACCGTTCCGT